TGATATGAAGGGTTGCAGGTGGTCGCATACACGGAGAAAAAAGGTGTGGAAAAATAACCGAACAAGTCAAGTAATCGTCGAGTCGACACGTTGTTCAGTACTTTTTCATTCTATAGGGTTGGCCGTATTTCTCAGGATTGGGTGAGATTTTTTTTCTTTTTTCATTATGCAAATATTTGATAACAACAAGAAATTTGAACTGAAATTTTCCATTTTCTCCCGTGGAAACATCGTTAGAAAAATCCAAATAATTTCCTACCGAATTTCGTAAAATATTTCGACACCAGAATTTAAGATTTTTCAAATTCTCAGTTGGCCCATAATTGAATGGAGTGCGAAATATATGTTCGTTGTACATTTCCACATCCATTGCGACCTTTTCGATAGCAGAAAAATATCTTCATCAGTTATTATTGGCTATTTTATCAGCCTCCGCGGTTGTGGTTAATTCCGCCCAGAGTTTGGGGGTAATGCCGCCCAGGGTTTCTATAGGGCTGCTAGACTCTGCAGCTAGAGGGCGGTCGAGTGACAGCTCGATTGTTTGGGGTAGTCGGTGGCCACTGGAACATCGGGTAAATTCAGGATAATTTATTATTGTTCACGTGAAATCTTTCTCAAAATGGAGCCAAAGGATGGAAACGAAGGATGAAAATAGGAAAAATTATGACAGTTGCCGGGCGGTATTACCCTCAAAGTTCGATGCCATCGCTCACTGGCCGATGGCAACTGAATTACATAATTAAATACGTTTAATGTTAATAAAAAACCTGTCCTCTTTACATCTTCGAGTAAACACCTCGTAGAACTCATTCGAACCGTTTATGACTCCTTGTAGAGTGCGGGGCTGGAAAAAAACTCATTTCCCTTAGGTGGGCGGTACATGCACCAGCTCTCCCCTAATATCACTTTCATATCACTCTCAAAAAATGATAACGATGAATGTTTCTCTCAAGATGGAAAACAAAAAATATTAAATTTTTCCCAAGTAAATTTGTCTCAATTCCAGGAGAAGAAAAGTTGAGTAGAATAAAACGAGCACGGGAAGAGATGCGGGATGAATGCATGGTAACAGAAGTGGGTGAAAATCCGTTGCTATTTGCCATTCATCTTGTCTCTCCTTTGAGTCAGGCTGATTTCAACCAGTTAGATTTTCTTACTTCTTGTCTCTGGATGAAAACGAAGGATGGTGGAAGCTCTATTCGTTAGAGTCATACAAAACTTGGGTTTTCCGTGTTTGAGTTGATTCCTAGGATATGGCCGTCTTGATGAGAAAATGGAGGAGCGAAGATTCGTTTTCTGGTGCTTTCGTTCGCCACGAACGTTGAATGCATTCATTTAGATGTATTTCGAAGATCTGTTGAATGTCTTCATTA